AATCAAGACTTCAGTTCTGGACTTTTAAGAGGCCTTTTGACTCCCAAGTTTTTAGCAAGAATAGGCCTCCAGTAGTTGCAGCTGATGTTAATCTTTTACATGGGCATGTCTGGATGAGGGTGAGGGGACAGAGAGTCAAAAGAAATAAAGTTTTTTTTTGAGTAATCTCCCATATAGTCAAGAGACTAACCATTAGGCTAGTCATCTGAGCTTCTCTTATACATACTGTGATTTCAGGGCAAGAAGGCTTCTCTCTCTCCAATAAATTTTCTGATTGCTATTTGTTACGGATTGAATTGTGTCTCCGCAAAATATGTGTCAACTTGGCTAGGCCATGATTCCCAGTATTGTGTGGTTGTCCTGCATTTTGTGATCTGATGTAATTATCCTCCATTTTGTGATGTGCTATAAATCCTAGCCTCTATGTCTGTGGTTATAGTCCCATTTAGGAGTGTGTTGTCCATTATGTTAATGAGGCAGGATGAGAGTGAGATGTATCTGAGTCACCACCACCTTACTAGAGGTTGTGACCCAAGTCACTGCCCTTATTCAAGTCATGCTGTTACTTGAGTCACACCTTTTATCTTACAAGAGATAAGAGGAGAGAGAAGCAAGCAGAGAGAGGGACCTCAATACCACCAGGAAGAAGAGATGGGAGCAGAGCACATCCTTTGGACCCAGAGTCCCTGCACTGAGACCTCCTAGAACCAAGAGACAGAGAGAGAGCTGTAACACTGGAAATGGTGCAAGACAGCAAGAAGTAGTGGCAGAGAAACGGTGGGAGCAGAATCAGAGATAAGCACAAGGTTGCTCGGGAGCTGACTCACAAAGCAAGAGAGAGCTGAGTACCCTGGGGCAGGAGGCTTCCTGGCAGAGTGAGGTGCCTTTGGGCACTTATTGGAGGGGCTAAAGAGCTTTGTAACACTTGCCTGAGCAGGGCAGAGGTGGAGCCAAGGGGCCAAAGGCCAGAAAGAGGCCTACCTGTGGACACAGCTGAGAAGAGGCTGTCCTGATCTACACGGACCTTCTTCCAGAGCTGACAGAGAAAGCCTTACCTCTGAGCCGGTGCTCTGAATTCAGACTTCTACCCTCCTCAACTGTGTTGTTAGTTGTTGTTGTTAGGTGCCATTGAGTTGGTTCCAACTCATAGCAACTCTATGTACAACAGAATGAAACCCTGCCCAGTCCTGTGCCATCCTCACAATCATTGCTATGTTTGACCCTATTGTTGCAGCCACTGTGTCAGTCCATCTCGCTGAGGGTCTTCCTCTTTTTCACAGACCCTGTTCTTTGCCAAGCATGATGTCCTTCTCCAGGAACTGGTCCCTTCTGATAACATGTCCAAAGTATGTGAGAGAAGTCTTGACATCCTTCCCTTCACAGGATTCCAGTTGTGAGAAAATACATTTCTGTTTGTTAAAGCCATCCACTTGTGGTATTTCTGTTATATCAGCACTAGATAGCTAAGACACTATTGGCTCAAAAATTTTGAATTTAAGTCAAAGTAATTTATTATACAGTTAGAGATTAAAAAAAAAAACAAAAACCAAATCCACTGCCATCTTAAAATACAAATAGCCTGAGAAGTAATCCACTGTGCATGAGTTTTTATCAAAGTATAATGTAGGGCAGATGAAGGTTTTGAGTATTTAAAAAAGAGAAAAGGATGTCAGTGTCAAGAGAAAGCGTGGGGATAAGAAAAGCAAAGATTTCATAATTTTGCTAGGGATTGCTTATTCTTCATAATTTCTAAGTAGATAAATGGAGGAAGAAGTGTTCACATCTTGAAGGGTCATCTAGGATTATACCTAAGTGGGGATTGTGCATCTAAATTATTTCTCTCCTCCTTCCCCCATTCTACCTTTTGACCCTAGTCACCTCTTCTCTAGGGCCATATTTCAAACAGGTGGCCCTGGAGAATTCTATTTTAACTGTGTAATCTCCATCTGATGTACTATCATTTCTTCTTCAGTACCACCTGTCATCAGGGTATGCTGTACACTTAAAAGGAATAGGTAATGTTTAAACAAGATACTGGACAAGAGGGTAGGCTTCCTACATGTCCTAACAATAGTGCTTTAGGGGAGGGTTACCATATCTAACACAAGAAAGGATTTAAAGCACCTTTTATATATTTTTCTCTGATTATCAGAGTAATATATGCTGATTGTAGAAAATTTTAATAAAAAAGTTTAAAAAACAAAATAAAAAAGACTAAAATTTCTACTAACTAGAGGCAACCTCAATGACACTTTGGCATATTCGTTTTTTATACATTTTCTTCTTTTATAATTGAGTTCTTTATTGTGCATGTAACTTTGCAACCTGCTGTGTTTGCTTAACATTATGGCATACACATTTGTTCATGTCATTGAATTTTTATGGTTACATAATAATCTATAGTATAGCTACACTATGATTTAGTCAAGGTAGTTTCTAATTATTTGCAATTATAAATAACACTGTGATAAACATCTTTGTGCATAAATCTTTGCCCTTCTTTTGGATGATTTACTAAAAGAGGAATTAGTGGCTTAAAAGATATAAACATTTTTTAAAACTTACTGATATACACTGCTACATTGATTTCCAGAAATCTTGTTATCAAATTATATTTGGGGGGAAAGGGAGGAATACCTGTTGGAACTATTGGACCTGTTAGAAAATATCTGACAACAGTTGTTACAAAGTACTATGCATGGAGAATGGGAAACCCCTCTGGAAAAAGTGTTATCTTAAAGTATTAAAATTCTTATATCAGATTTTCCACATCACACAATATGTCTGAGTCATTAGCGGAAAGAGGAAAGGAGAAGAATTGAGAAGTTGATTTAGAAGCCATACATAAGGTGACATGTCAGAAAGTATCAGTTTGGGAAAGTAAGCTTACCAACACTATTAAAAAACTCATACATATTTTAAGTTGTGATTCAGAATATTAATTTTGATTATAAAGCATCATATTTATTTACTTTATTTAATTTTATTTAAATTCATGCAATGTAATGGGAATCAACATAATAGCAGTGTTTTTCAAAATATGGGTCCTAATCTATTAGTGAGTTATGAAATAATTTGTCATGACCAGCATTTTAAAAAGTGAAATATAATAGAATTGCATAGAAAGTACCAGAATTCATAGCTCCTAGTTAAGGGGAAGCATTACTTGTGAAACTTTTGTTTCATTACCTCTGTGTGTGTGTGTACTATAAAACGTATCTCTTATTGTGGGTTGTGACTAGAAAAAATTAGTTTGAAGCCACTGGTGTAGTGGAAAGAGTCTGGGCTTTGGAATTAGCCAGACCTCTGAATCTGGCCCTGGGTGACTTTTGTCAGTTATCTAACTTCTCTATGGCTCAATTCCTTCATCAAAAGAGAAAATAATATCTCATTCTTGTTTGTGTATATGTGTGTGCAGATTAGCGATTACTTAAGTAGAGTGCCTAAAACATAGTCAATGCTTGTTGTTGTTATTGTTAGGTGCCGTGGAGCCGATTCCAACTCATAGCTAATATATAATTACTTCCAAATATTTCCAAAAGTAATGTTTTCACACACACACACACACACACACACACACACACACACACACACCATTCATTTGGAGGAAGATTTTTTTTTTTGACGACTAGATCTATTATGTTATAATCTATCTAAAAACACCCCCCTCAGTCTTTTTCTCTACTTTCCTTTAGTAAGGAGGCTTGAACATATAGTTCTTTCCCTTTCCTGATCTCACGTTGTACTTATTACCTATATTGTGGATTTTGGCACTTTATTAAAAATCTGTCACATATTGTCTAGTTATTTCAAGAATGAACCAGTATCACAAACTTTCAAATCTCTTCTAGTGTTTAAAACAGTCCTGAGCACATTGCAGGGTGCTTGATGAAAATGTGCTGCGTGTAGTCCAGAGTACACGTTCTGCAAAGTTTGTGGTTTACGGGGAAGCAGATGTAATGCTGATTCTACCAGTATTTCTTCTTCAGTCTACATGCTCAACAAGTCAGTTAGGCACTAAGTCATGTCTTTGGGTGGTATAAGGGAAAGTTGTGAACAGAGAAACCACTTTATCTGAGGAAAGACGAAAATTAGATGCTACTCTCCCCTCCCCACTTCTATTCCCATCAGGGAGGGAGCACTTATAAGCCCCTAGGACCAGGGTCCAGAAACGTGCTGGCGTCCTGAGCTCCAGAGGCTTGCCAGCATTCATGATCTCCCGCACTGAGAGCCCTTCTTCCCAGATGAATTCTCATAGTATCACAGACACTCGCAGTCTTGATCGATACTGGATGGCAGACGTGTTCCCATCGTCAAGTGTAGGCACAGGGCGGTGGATTTAGCCGCCCTGCCGCTCTGTCGCAGCTTCTCATCAGCTCAATACCGGCAGGGGACGTTAACCCGCTCCCCGGCTGACACCCACCACGTTGTCTCCCTGGGCACGCGCTTCCCGCCTCCCCTTCCCCTCATCTGTCCTTTGGCAGGGCGGGGGCTTTTCTGTCACACTCACACTTTTGGGGACAGCAGGGCTTCCGCCCGCGCGGAGGGCACAGTGAGGTGGTCTCTCCGCCCGGCTTCCCAGCCAGACGGTCCCTGGAGGCTGCTGAGGCCAAGTGACGCGCTCCCTCACACTCTGGACCTTACCTTCTCGCATCTTCGCCCGGTGGGCAGCAGGGAGAGGTGACCTGGGGCGGCCCCCCAGTCTGCCGCGAGGGTCCCGCCGAGGCCGCTCCAAGGCAGGTTAGGGGCGCGCTGCAGCCGGCTTGGTCTACTCCCTGGAGCCCTGCCAGACGGAAGCCCCGCCCCCGGAGCCCGCTCCCACTCCTGATTGGTTAGTCCAACCAGGAGGCGGTGGGACCAGCTCCCGGCGGGCGTCTCAGCTATAAAGGCGGCCGGGGCATGACTGCCTTGGCGAGGCTCGTGTAGCTACGGCTCTTGTCAGCTCTCAGCGCCTGCGGGGCCTCTATTCCTCCTGCCCCCCGAGCTCTCCCGCCTCCACCATGCCGAGGGGCTTCCTGGTGAAGCGAACTAAACGGACAGGCGGCTCGTACCGAGTACGCTTGGCCCAGCAAGTCTTCCCCCTAATGGGGCCCCAGGGGTCGCCGCCCTTTCCTGAGGAGGCCCCCAGCGCCTCCTTACCTGGTACCGAGCGGGTGGCGTCCCCTATCGAGGAGGAGCCAGGAAAGGGGCTGGCGGCGGAGGCCACCCGGGAACTGTCGGGGTCACCCTGTCTGGCAGCTGGGGTGAGCCCTGGACCGCGCGGGCGGGAAGGAGCGGAGTGGAGGGCGGACGGCAGCGAGGGTCCCGGACCCAGCCCCAGCCCCGCGAAGCCGGCAGGCGCAGAGCTGCGCCGAGCTTTCCTGGAGCGCTGCTTCAGCTCACCGGTCTCCGCAGAGTCCTTCCCCGGGGGCGCCGCCGCAGTGGCCGCTTTTTCCTGCTCGGTGGCGCCAGCAGCCGCCTCTACCTCGGGGGAGCAGTTCCTGATGCCATTCCGGGCACCGTTCCCAGAGCCCACGCTCCAGCCGGACCCCGCGCCCCTGTCGGCCACCCTGCACGGCCTGAAGCGGGCAGCCGGTAGCGAGCGCCGCGCCAAGTTGCCTCCCGGTAGCGCGTCGGGACTCGCGGCCGCTGAAGTCAAGAAGCCAAAAGCGTTGAGGAAGTTGAGCTTCGCGGACGAGGTGACCACGTCCCCTGTCCTGGGTCTGAAGATCAAGGAGGAGGAGCCCGGAGCGCCGTCCCGGGGCCTGGGGAGCAGCCGCACGCCGCTAGGGGAGTTCATCTGCCAGCTGTGCAAGGAGCAGTACGCGGACCCCTTCGCGCTGGCGCAGCACCGCTGCTCCCGTATCGTGCGCGTTGAGTACCGCTGCCCAGAGTGCGATAAGGTCTTCAGCTGTCCTGCGAACCTCGCCTCCCATCGTCGCTGGCACAAGCCGCGTCCCGCAGCGACAAACACCGCCACAGTCTCCTCCACCGACGGGAAGCCGCCTCCTTCGTCGTCCTCGTCCTCCCCGGACTCCGGGACCATCTCATCTTTCCGGGCGGAGGGGAAGGAGAACAGTCGGGCCGAGCGGACTGAGGATCAGCACCCACAGGCCAGGGACAGCTCCGGAGAGAATCAGCACCAGGACAGCGCCCTGCGCCCCAGCCTCCAGGTGCTGCCGCATACGGAGCCACCGCGGCCACAGGTCTCCTATACGGAGGGGATGTTGGGGCACCGCGTTCCTGGACCAGGCAGTGCCAGCGGTGTCGGGGGATCCGAGATCTTCGTGTGTCCATATTGCCACAAAAAGTTCCGCCGCCAAGCCTATCTGCGCAAGCACCTGGGCACTCATGAGCCGGGCTCTGACCGCGCGCTCGCCTCGGCCTTTGGCTCCGAACGCGGCGCTCCACTCGCCTTTGCTTGCCCGCTGTGCGGGGCGCACTTCCCATCCGCAGACACTAGGGACAAGCACCGGCTGTGGCACGCTGTCCGCGAGGAGCTGCTTCTGCCCGCTCTGGCGGGGGCGCCCCCCGAGGCGCCCAGCCCAGGCGGGGCATCTGATGGGGGTGCTCAGCAAATTTTCTCGTGCAAGCACTGCCCGTCCACCTTTTTTAGCTCCCCTGGGCTGACTCGGCACATCAATAAATGCCATCCCTCAGAAAGTCGGCAGGTATTGCTGCTGCAGATGCCACTGCGGCCCGGCTGCTGAGGGCCCGAGACTGGAGACAAGGTTACGAGGTTGGCCTTGGAGGAAACAGATAGTGAGAGCTTCTGTGGGGCTTGCTTCACCTTACAAGTTTACCCCCTTTCCTGTTTTCTCTCCTAAAACTCTCCCAATAGTCAATATTCCGCCAGAGGAGCAGACAGCAAAATGTAAAATATCCCTCTAGAGCAGGTATGTATACGCTATAAACACTCTCCATTCAAAGACGGTCAGCTTTAAATCCTTTTCACTTTCCCCACTAAATAGGATTTTACCCCCAAACTCTGGAGAGACTAACGAACCCTATATGACTTGTAATTCCTATGGAAAGTCGCAATGAATGCGTGCATGTCTCAATGTCTACAAAGGATTCTAGCTACCAAAAGTGGTAGTCACCAATGTTTCTTCTCTTGCCATTGCAGGCACCTATGTAGTTTCTGTCTCAATAGGGTCAGATTATCTTGCTTGTATATTCTGTGAATTAAGAGTTACGTGATTGGTGCCAAATGTACAGGAAAAAAAGAAGATTCAAGACCTGTGTCTGTCAGTAGAAAATATGAGATGCTTGCTGCTTTTGGGGGATATGGACCTTCCCTGTAACTACTCTACCCCTATTATATGCATTAGTTCATTCTTAAATTAGCGAGGTGAAGAGGATGCTACTTTACTGGAAGGAGTTAAAACTGAGACACCCCCAAAATCCTTACTCTTTGCTACTTCGTATGCAGTATTCAGGAAGAGCTACTTTAAACTTTTAGTTTTTTGGGACTACAGAACTCTTATCTTCAAGTTTAACTGTTTTAGTAAGATTTCACCCAAACTGTTAGATGTTTCTGTTGTAAATCTCATACTGTGTATTATATATGAAACTATATTCAGTTTAAAGATGTTAATACCTATAATCCACTATGAAACTGAATGGCAAACCATTCAATAGTTTTTCAGGAGCAAGTTGTTTTTGAATTGCTTTTTGTAAATCATATTCAGTGTACATTCTGTACCCACACTCTTAACAACCAGAGTTTGGGACACTGGCTGAGCACTGCTCGACAGATTGCCCGTATTAGTAAAATGCTTACCACTAAATAAATGTACATAGCGTGTGCTTTGTTGTGTTCTTTGTCTTAAGTCTCACTGAACACAGCCTACTTTCAAAGCCACATTTCTTATCTCCCAAATGCTAGCATTCTACTTTAGAATCTTACTGACTCATTTAGACAGAATAAAGACAGAAGAAATTATATTTTGCAAATGAATTTAACGGTACAGAAATGCACCGGGAAATTTTCCTTTTAAGTACGGTTGAATAGACTGAGCTCCAAAGGGCAAAGAATATGTACTGTTCTTTAAATCTAAAAAGACACTTGTTCTCTAACAAGTGTCTTAACAGAAAATAATTTTAAATATTTCTCAAAAAAGAAAAACACTTCAGAAGGTAATGAAGTGTTATCTGAAAATGAAAAAAAAATCATGTTAACTATACTAATTACACTATTTCAAGTTGGTGTTTTCACTCCATTTCATTACATATCACCAATCCATTAGTTACTCATTAAAAAAAAAAATTTAAAAATGTGTCAAGGGTTACTTTTTCTTTTTGTAATTCCTCACCTTGACTGTGATAAACTGTCTGTACTGTTAAATCTTGCTTCCAGGAACTCTATCTTGTACATAAGCTTCAACAGCTTCATAAAAATTTTATTTATAAAAAAAAAAACAGAAAAGCCAACGCACAGGAACTCTGAAAGGTTGTTTTAGAAAAATTTGTCTGTAGAAAGTTTTCTTGAAAGCATACTATAAAACAAGGTGAAATTTAAGAAATCAAAGAAACACAAGGCTGAGGTAAATTGGTGATTTAGCCCAGTGCATTGAGTGAAGTCTGACTAGCCTTCATAAAGGTGTATAATTTTCTGTGTTTTTAACAACTGTGGTAGGATCTCTGAGAAATAAGTTGGAGTGTATAAGGAGGGAATTCAAATTCATTTTTTTACGACTGACTAAAATAAACTAGTTTCATGCTTTACATCTCTCCATTAACCATATAGCCCTGCTTATTAAGTCTGAAAATATATGAAACATAGAGGAATAAACACTCATGGACAGAAAGTGATAAGAATATTTTTATTGTATTATTAAATGTCATTTTTTTCACTGTTACAAATTTGTAGATACTACATGAATGATGATACATAATTTATATTTTATAGTTTGCCAGTATGATGTATTTACACATGCAGTTAGTACCGATGCCATGCTACATTTCCTTAGGGGATGCCCATTCAAAACAAAATGTGAGCAAAGTGTGAGCAGCTTATCTAACGTAGGAAAATACTTCTGGAGGGTGGAATGTATTCTGACCTGCACCTGCAAGTTCAGTATTAACAATATTAGATTTTACTTAGATTCCTGGGTCATGTTCCCTTTTCTTTTTTTAATAATACACATAATTCAAGCAACACATTTATATCAGAAAAGTCTTTTCTTTCTTTTCTCCCCATTCTCCCTGCCCCTTTTGGTAATTAAGCAAGTACACAGATACACCAGGATCTAGGAGCCGATAACAAAGGGCCACAATCTCAAAAAAGAAATGGCACTTAACAGTGATACCACTTAAAAACCAAAACATTAGAAAAATTATTTGGAAGCTAAACATAAATCAAAGTTCAGCACAGTGATTTTCCTGATTATCAAATATATCATGGCATAACCTGCACAGCCAAGAAATGAGACATTGCTTTGGGATGAAAAAGTTAATGCTAAAATTATTTTAGTTGGAATTTGAGATGCTAAAAGACCCTTTGTTTTATTTTCATAACATAAACAATCTGTATACATCCTGTGTATTAACCAATTTGAACTTTTGCTGTAACTTTACAAATGCTCAAATTTAAAATTATACATTTGTAAAAAAATTACGTATTTATTGAGCAATAAAGTTGCAATGGGGCACAATAAATAAAATAATGAGACTATCTGTCCAATTATACTTTGGCTCAGAGTTAATCATGAAATTAAAACTATTTAGACATAATTATCTAGAAAGGTAAAGGGTGCAGAATAAAATTCCACCCCCCAAAAATATGGCAGCTTAGTGTATAGGGAGAAAAAAACAACTGAATAAACAACCCAAATCTAAAATATTAAGCTATAAATTATTTAAATCCAGTGTTTCCTAAAATAAATGTACAGGAAGGAACATGCATGTTATGGCAGACATGAAGGTCTAACAGGGTTAACACTACGTTCGAGCTAAGGTGGCTACTGCTGATCACGGCAGGGCTGCTTGTCTCCTTAGGATTTATTGGCTGAGCCAGAGGAACGACGCAGCTTCATGGACATGCGGCTCTTGCTAGTTCGAGGGGACATTGGAGAGGCCAGGTCAGCCCCATCTACCTGCGTCGCTGTTGGAGTTTCACTGGGTAGAATCTCTGGGTAGGCGCCTGCGGGAAACAGCAAGAGCGTTAGTACCAATCATATAGCCTCTCATCCTATAAGAAATAACCTTTCTGCTACTGATCTGTAGCGTGGGTCCCAACCCTCAATGAGGTCTTTTGAAAACTTGCTTGTTACAAAAGCCTACTAATGTATTTAAAACACAGTGATCTGATGGGTCATGTAATCCCATTAGCAAGAAAGCGGCAATCATCTCCAGAGCCAGAATTAACCAGACAGCTACATGGAAAAAGCAACGGGAAACAACGTTTTTGGGCCAGAAAGGACAGGGTTCCAAAGCATGCAGGGAAGGGCTCAAGAAGCAGGTGAGAAAGACCAATTCCTATTTCTAGGGTACAGAGTAGAACCAAGAACAGGGCCATCACTGCTTAACCTTGACAATAATAGCACCCTCAAAAAAGGAACTCAGCACTGTGAGAACATTACACATGCTAGGTATTTATGCTTTTAAGAAAAAGCAAGATAAATTCCTAGGGATGAGGAGGAAGAGGGCAAGAATTCTCATCTGAAAGTCAGTCAAAAAAGATGAACTGACCCCAGAAAATGTCTTAACTTAAATTTTCCCAGCTATACTATTTAGAAGGTATACTATTCAAGAAGATAACCAGTAAAATTAGTAGATATAAAATTCAAAAAACTTAAAAGAAGCAAAATAAGTTCAAATAGGAAAACTCTGTGTGTCATATACAAAGTTGTTCTTCACCTCTATACTTTTTCTATGAATTATGATTCTCTAATATACAGCAATATAGAATCTTGCAAATTTTAGGTTCTCAAATAATTTCTGGATGAATGAATGAACAGAGATTACATTAAAATAAAAGGCCCTGAGGAAAAAAAAAGAATATCTGCAAGCATAACAGAATAACAACAACATGAAATTCTATACATTTTAAGGCACTTACATCCAGATTTTCTGGGTCTTATGGATATGAAGATTTTCATTATGTGTGTTTGAAAAAAAAAACAAAAACAAAAAACCACTGGTTGCAGGTTTAAACTTACACATCTCCTTACTCTGTAGGGAGACTTTTGATCTCACTGACACTTTAAGCCCTTGGAAATAATTATGCTAGTACTTCCATATAATGAAATGTTATGTTTAAATTGAAGTGATAAATACTTATAAGAAAAAACAAAAACGGTCTTCAGGGGTGCATATCCTATTAAGATGTCTTGAGTAAGAATGTATCTCTGCAGAACATTTCCAAGTATTTTTAAGGCCAAATGTTATATTTAACAACAAATATACACTGAAAATCTAGGTCAATTGCCCTCTTTCTCAAAGCAGTTTCTCCAACATTCTTTCTTTTCTAATTTAATGAGGTTGGCCTTCAAAAAACAAGGAGAAGGAAATAGATTTCTGTTCACCTTTACTTTTCCTGAAGATCTGAATTGGCTCAGCCCCAAATTGGAAAATCTAAAGGAGAACATGGCCCTCGTTAGAGAAGCACTGCAGGTGAATGGCAGGAGGAAGGTGAAGAGCAGTAGCTCATGCTTTCCAAGTAATGCATACTATTCTCGGCCATCATGAGAGCTCTTCCCATGGCTGT